CCGACAATACTTTTTGGATTGAATTCAAAACTTGCCCGCGTCGCGAAACCCGCCAGATCGCTCACTTCGTCAGACCAACATGGGGGGTTTCAGTTCTGTCTGTGTCCCCACACTCAATTTTTCAGAAATCCTTGGCACACCCCATCTTGTTGTTTTTCGAGGCCTCTTTTCCGCACCCTAAGCACTCCGAACGGAAAGTAGCACATGGCGTGAGGTTGCGCATCACACGCTACTGGTCAGGAGGAAAGAGAGAACCGGTGAAGAGCAAACTTGAGGTATATCCATTGGGTGCATGGTGGGAAACCCGTCTTGGCATCTCAGACTCTTTACACTGTTGTGGAGAGTGAGGATGAAAAGGTTGCCCTGATAGAGCTGAGAGAACCATAATGGATGATAAATTTAGTTGCTATGTCTGCAGTTGCTTTAAGAAAATCGCGGTAATAGTTCACAAATAGACGATGGAAGTAACTTAGAGTAGTTCAGGGCCAACGTCACGGAGCCACTAGTAGCGGTGCCACCTTGAGTAGTGAGAGCGGATCAGTTGGCAATGAGAACGCTACTGGTAGGGAGGAAAAAGAGAACTGGTAAAGAACAAACTTGAGGTTTATCCATTGGGTGCGTGGTAGGAAACCCGTCTTGGCAGCTCAGACTCCTTACAATGCTTTTGGCAGTAAGGATGAGAAGCGTGCCCATAAAGAATTGAGGGAACCATTGTGGGTGAGGTATGTAGTTGGTATGTAGTTGACCGGTTTGTAGTTGATCTGTGAAGGGTCTTGCCCAAATTCACCAACAGAACACAAGCGGGGTATCGGGTAGCTGAAAATTCAGGAATGAAAATTCTGAAGTGAGAGTTTTGGGTAGTATGAAAATCCTGAATGGTCCTGAAGTGGGGAAAGGTCCGAAGACCCTGAAAACCACCTGTTTAGGCAAGCTGCATCCTGAAGTGGTGAAGGGTGTCCTGAAGTGGTCAAGTGAGAGTTTTATGCAGTCTGAAAATCCTGAATGGTCTTGAACTGGTGAAAGGTATGAAGATAATGAAAACCACCCTTCACCACTTGAGGATGCAAACTGCCTAAACATGTGGTTTTCAGGGTCTTCGGAGCTTTCACCACTACAGGACCATTCAGGATTTTCGGACCTGAATGGTCCTGAGGTGGTGAAAGGTCCAAAGACCCTGAAAACGACCTGTTTAGGGAGGCTGCATCCTGAAATGGTGAAGGGTGTCCTGAGGTGGTGATGAAAAATACGACTGTTGTTAACCTTGTCTCAGAGGGAGCAGTGGGAACACCAATGGTTGGACGAAATGAAAGACCCGGTGAAGACCAAACTAGAGTTGTATCCATTGGGTGCGTGGTGGGAAACCCGTCTAGGCAACGAAGGCTCTTTACAAAGTGATTGGACAGCGATGATGGGAGGGTAACCCTACCGCTTATTCTTCTTGCCCATCTCCTGGTCTTTGAGCGTATAGGTAGTTTTCGTTCTTAACGGCTTAGCCGTTTACTTAAATCCTGGTGGAAAGTAAAATTGTTGATTTAGGCAACCTAGCATAATGCGATAGTAGTTGAATATCGATGAGCAACACTGCAATGATCTGCTTGACTGAACTTTAGCACAAAGTAGGACGGTGCCTAGTTTGTACACAAAATTACTTTGAGCTTCAAGGGATTTTGGAAGATGAGGATAGACCAGTGAAAGGAAGGGACGCTAGACCTGTTTTCCAGCAACAGCCCAATTAGGGTTATTGGTCATATTTTCCGGGTTGTTTGTGAGGAATTCCCGCTCTCCTTTCATTTGTAATAAAAGCTAATGATTCTTTCAAAAAAAAAAAAAAAAAAACCTTAACAGTAAGACACCATTTCGACATTAA